GCTCAAAGTCACGGCCTCATTTTCTCTTCCAGTCATCAGAGTCTGGTGGCAAGACACAAATCAAGATGACTGGTGATGGCTTGTGATGTGGTAGATGACCTGGGCGTCTTCAATGTTTAACCAAGCTCTAAGCCCTCCACAGAACCTGTTCACATCCACCTATTCTGCCAGGGAAGTCTTCACATGCTTGGGATAGACACCCCCCCCCTAACTCACCAACAATTTTGTGACCCCTCAGTTATGCTCGAACTGGTTTAGCCTGACTGCTGAAACAGTTTATTGGAGTGTGACTACTGTGCATACTGCAGCCTCTCGGTGCCACAGGTAAGAATTGGGTGAATCAGGTGGACATCTAAGGTGAAAAGCAGCCTTGAAAAGTGCTCAGCAGGTACCCCATCGCACCTATCAGATTGGCCAAGATGACAAAACAAGAAAATGATAAATGTTGGAGAAGATGTGGGAAAATTGGAACACTAATACATTGTTGGTGGAGTTGTGAAATGATCCAACATTTGGAGAACAATTTGGAACTATGACCAAAGGGTATAAAAATGTGCATACCCTTTGACCCAGCAATAGCACTTCTAGGGCTGTATCCCAAAGAGATCATACAAATGGGAAAAGGACCCACATGTACAAAAATGTTTACAGCAGCTCTTTTTGTGGTGGCCAAGAATTGGAAATTGAGAGGATGCCCATCAACTGGGGAATGGCTGAGTAAGCTGTGGTATATGAATGTAATGGAATACTATTGTGCTGTAAGAAATGATGAACAGGGTGACTTCAGAAAAACCTGGAAAGACTTATACGGTCTGATGCTGAGTGAAGTGAGTAGAACCAGGAGAACTTTGCACACAATAATAGCCACATTGTGCAATGACTAATATTGTAAACTTAACCCTTCCCAGCAATACAAGGATCTAAGACATCTCCAAAGGCCTTTTGATGGAAAATGCTATCCTTATCCAAAGAAAGAACTATGGAATTTGAATGCAGATCAAAGCATACTATTTGGTATTTTTTTTCTTTTCTGTTGAGTTTTGTTTCCTCTTTCTGGTGGTTCCTCCTATTGGTTCTAATTCTTACTTACAACATCACTAATGTGAAAATATGCTTAATAGGAATGTATATGTATAGCCTATATCAGATTGTGCACTGTCTTGGGGAGGAAGGGGGAGAAAAAAGCATATGGAAGTGATTGTTGATAAATCAGAATAAATTAATAAAAAAAAGAAAAGTGCTCAGCAGCCCTGATACCAGAAGTAGTAGTCTTCTCTGAACTCCTGAACACCTCAGTAGCAGTAGTAGTAGTAACAGTAGTGATAGCAGCAGTAGAAGTAGTAGTAATAGTAGCAATAATAGTAGTAGCAGCAGTAGCAATAGTAGCAATAAGAGTAGAAGTAGAAGTAGTAGTAATAGTAGTAGAAGTAACAGTAGTAGTAATAGTAGTAGTAGCAGTAGTAGTAGTAGTAGCAGCAGCAGCTAACATTTCTATTGTGCTCACTTACTATGTATCAGGCACTGTGCTATTATTATCACATTTGATGCTTTAGATACTATTTCCACAGGAAGAAGGAAGTGGGGTGGTTTGGGTCAGTTTGGTTTTTGTTGCCATTGGAGTAGTAAGAAATAGAGAAGGGGAAAGAGTTTGAAATTGTTTCTATTAGTGGACTAGAGAGACAGGATGATTGGGATACAGTTTCCATTGGATGACTAAGGAAGAGGATGCTTTTGAGTAACAAGTCATCTTGAGAGATAAGGAAGAGGGACAGTATATTCATGAGCAGGGTCCTTTGAAGTTAGTCAGTAGGTTAAGCAATTGTTTAAAGCTCTCCTGAAAAGAATCAGGGTAGTCCCTACCCCTTACCCCGCCCCCAGCCTAACCTGGGCATGAAGCCCTCCGGTAGGCAGGGATGGGATGGGGGGATAGTTTCCCTTTTAAAGTCTGAAGTTCTGGCTTAGGGCCAGCCCCTCTGATCATGCCTGGCCCCGGATGGAGCAGCCCTGCCCAGGGAGGAGACAGGGCCAGAGGGCCTGTATGAGCTCAGAGCTCACAAGAAGCCTATGTCTCTGGGAGCCAGGGTGCCCAGTGCAATGGGACAGAGGACCATTCACCCAGCGCCCAGGCAGGAACAATTGAGGTCCTTTATCTTGGTTTGAAGGGAGGGCTGGGAGGAGGAGAGAAGAAGAGAGGGAAGTAGTACTTGGAGCAAAAGGCAGCCCAGGTGGAAATGGGATCAAGGGTCCATCCTCTCACAAACCACTGAGAATGATTGGCCAGTGCTTAGCTCTATCACCTGGCCCCTTTTTGAATGCAAAATAGGAATGTGTCCTTATTGTTACCCTTTGGGTGTGGGGGGGCACCATCATTGTCTTCATGAGCAGCAATGTTCTGGGTGGCCCCAGAGGTCAGGAATAGGACCAGGAAGGAGTGAGGGGAATTATCCAGAGGCAGATTTCAGCTATCTATAAGGAAGACCTTCCTACTAGTCAGACCTGTCCATCAATGGAAAGGGCTGCTTCTGGGAATGTTCAAGCAGAGGCTGAATGACACCCCTCCCTCTTAATCAGGGACATGGTAGAGAGTATCTCTATGCTGGGCAAGGGGGTTTGAGCTAAATGACCTTTGACCTCCCTTGTAGCTCTGGGATTCTGAGTCTCAAAAGTGGGACCAGTGATACATCACTAGCCACCTTGATTTTTCCCTCCTTGCTCCTGGCACACAGAAAGCCCTTTCTTCCCCCCTCCAATCCATCAGTCATCTGATCATGGCACTCCTCTGCTCAAAAGTCTTCAATACCTCCCTACCTTCAAACACTTCTATTATTTTCTGGCATTCAAGTCTCTGCAATCTGACACCACCTTATCATCCTGTCTTATTTCATAGCCTTTCCTCCATATGAACTCCAGACAAAGCGGACATGACTCTATTCTTCCCATACCCACTGTACATACTATGGCTGATGCCTAGAATCCTCTGCTTTTCAGGCAATTCAATTTGACAAGTATTTATTTCAAGAAGCTGAGGTTACAAAGACAAAAACAAAACCTGCCCTCCATGAGCTTCGCTCAGGGCTCTGCATGCCCAAGGAGTTTAACCAATGTTGGGTGAATGAGAGAAGGAATGAATAAATGAATGAATCCAGCATCCAATCCCAGGGTCTCTTCCCTTAGACCAGGGGTTCGTAACATTTTTTGTGTCATGGTGCCCTCTGGTAGTCTGGTGATGCCTATGGCCCCCTTCTGAGAATCATGTGTTTAAATAATTGAAGGAAATGCTAAGTTTCAGTTAGAGGTTAGTGAAAACAAAGGTGTAATCTATTCACCGAATCTGGGGGTGGGGTCCATGAACCCCAGGTTAAGAGTTTCTGACTTGGATCCTGTTCTTCCATCAAGGGCTATTTGATATGTAATTGGGGAAGGCAGGTATTAATGGGTCACAATGGGTCCCACTGACCCACTTCTTCCACATAGTTTTAAAAAAAACCAGCAATCATTTATTAAGCACCTACTATGTGAGAGGGGTGGGGCAGCTAGGTGGAACAGTGGATAGAACTCTGGGTCTGGGGTCAGAAATACCTGAGTTCAAATCCAGCTTCAGACACTTACTAGCTGTATGACCCCAGGGAAGCAATTTCATCCTGTTTGTCTCAGTTTCCTCACCTGTCCAAAAAGCTGGAGAAGGAAATGGCAAACCCCTCCAGTATCTTCACCAAGAAAACCCCAAATGGGGTCATGAAGAGTCAGACAGGACTGAACCATACTGGGCTATCACAGTACCACTGATACAGAGCTGGGAAGGACCTCAGTCAGAGAGCGTCTAGTACAAGCCCATAATTTTATGGAAAAAGAATCAAACACAAGGTCACACAGGCAGTATCAGAGAGGATCTGTGCCTACCTCCTTTGATGCCAGAGCCATTGAATTTTTCACTCTCAAAACAGAAAGCGCCTGGTAGAATGAATGGGAGAATTTTAAGAAAAGAAAAGAAAAGCATTCCTTAAGTATTTACTATGTTCCAGGTACTGTTAGGATGGGGATGTAAATACAAACAAGCAAGATAGTATCTGCTCTCAAGGAGTCTACATTCTAATGCGGAAGATTTGGGGAACTCAAGCTAGAAGATAAGGAGTTGCGGGAGGGAGAGAGAAGATAGGCAAGTGACAAGGTGGCCTCATTCCCAGTAAGTTAGGATGAAAGTTCAAGTGTATGAGCCCAGAGTCCCAGGGGTGAGAGTCTGAGTTGGGGGGAGGAGAGGGTCAAAGTGACATCGTTCGTAGCTGTCTGGATTTGGAGTCAGGAGACCAGGACCTGGCTCTGACAGTTACCACCTGAGAGACTTTAAGCAAGTAACTTAGCTTCTCCTGGTCTCAGTTTCTTCATCTGTCAAATGAGGGGCTTGAACTAGATGACTCCCCCCCCCGCCCCAAATTCCTTCCATTTCTAAATTCTGTGATCTCCAAACTCTGAGTACCTGAGACTCCGCAAGTAGGAGGGACCTTGTCAGCCCTGGCTGGGCCACCCAATCAAATCCTCTTATTTGGGAGAGAGGGAAGGGAAATCGAGGCCCAGAAACGAGAGGTTTGCCTGAGGTGGCACGATTCAGGACTTTCCAGGAAACTCTGATGCTTCGGCACAAAAGGAGGGGTGAACATTTGTTGGTGTGATGGTGGACAATCCCCTTCTCCTCTCTGGGCCACAGTTCCCCTCTCTGTAAAATGGGAGGAAATAGTCCCTGCCTCCCTCCCATGGGTGCTGAGAAGATTCGATCAGAGAATGTCCAGAAAAGTGCGCCCTGGGGCCCTGAGTCGCCCGCCTGCCCCTAGTTCCGCCCCTCTCTTTGGGCCCCCGAGCTCTCCTCTTTTCTCTGGCTCCCTCCCGCCCCCTCTTCTCCCGGGCCCTCCCCCGTGCTAGGGCTTCCCGGGTTTGGGGGGCCGCAGGCGGGAGGGTCCGAGAAGGATCAGCTGACCCGCCGCAGCCCAATCGCGCAGGAAGGAGGCGAGCGCGGAGCCCAAGCGGGAGCGGGAGCCAGAGCCGAGAGTGCGGGCCGCCAGCTGCTGCGGAGGACAGCCAGCTCCATGGACGAACCGAGCATCCTGCGGCGCCGGGGGCTGCAGGTGAGACTGGCCGGAGCCCCGCCCGTGGGAGAGGGAAAAGGGGAGGCACTCTCCCCGCCCACAATGCACTGGGCTGGGGTGGGGAGAGCATCCCTTTAGCTGCTGGGGAGCTGGGTCTGGCGAAAGGGAGGTGGGTGTGGACTGGGTCCCGCCCTGGGCGTAGGTCTGGTTTAAACCAAGGGTTTGGAAGGGTCTGACGGTCAGGAATCCAGTCCTGCCCCGTGTTGCCCTAGTTAGGACTTCTCATTTCTGGACCCTTGCCTCAGTTTACCTTCAGTGAAGACTGTGGGGAGGGAGGCTGAGGGGATGGTGGGGGCTAGGGAGCTTAGGCGACAGAAGCTGGGAGATCAGGAACTCTGAGGGGACAGTAGGGACTGGAGGGAAATGTTAGGATCCCTTCCCTACCACCTCTGAACTGGAATCTCTTCAATTTACCTGCAGGGTAAGGGTGGGGTGGTTATAGGGTTCTGGAGCAGGAGGAATGAATCCTGGGAGAAAGAGTCGGACAATAGAGGGGAACTGAAAAGATAGCCTGGGACTGAGAGTCAGTCAGGAGACCCCCCCCCACACACACACACAACCTTGAGGGGTGTAGGGCTCAAGGACTTCCCTCAGCCTAGGCAGAGCCCCGAGGGGTGTGGTCTGGGCCAGGCAAATCTAACCACAGGCAGCAAAATGATGAAGTTACTCCATTTCCTTTCGGCTGCTCTTAGCCTTCCCTTCATGTAGTTTCCTGCTATCCTCTCCCCTTGAGGCAGGGGCTGACTTCACGCTGGCAACACCCTCCTTGAACCCTCCATCCCTATCCCCAAATCTCACACCTGCATAGCACCTTACAAAGCATTCTTCTCTCCATTCTCTCATGAGAGCCTATAGCATCCCTCTGAGGAAAACAGGGACTATACTCCTCATTTTACGGATGGGAAAACTGAGGCCCAGAAAAGGCATAGGTATTGCCCTTAGTCACACAACAGATTGGTGTCAGAACTAGGCCTGATACCTGGGTCTCCTATTTCATCTGTCTTTCCATTGCACCAGCATCCTGTTCTCTCCTTGTGTCAATAACTTATGTCTTCCTCTGAATTTGTATCTGAGTTCTGTCTTTCACCACCCTCTCTCCTCTTTTAAGCATACCCTGACATGCAAAAAACTGGGCAAAAGCCCCCATCTCAAACCTTCTCACTCTTCAAGTAGAGGAGGAATGGAATGAAGTCATGTCAGACATAGGAGGGGCTCACCCTGTTTGTGGAAGATCTCTGGCCTCTTAACTCATGCTCCATCCTCAGATTCTTCCAGAAGTCCCTAGTCCTGGTCCTAAGTTCCATCCCTGGCAGAATGGGATTGTGCCTGAAGAAAGGGAGGCCTTCACCAAATATCTGAAGGGGGCTCACTCAGATGGAAGGGGAATTAGGCTTGCTCTGTTGGCCTCTAAGAGCAGAAGTGACAACTGTTGGAGGAAGTGCACCGAGGCAGGTTTAGGGTCAATGGCAAGAAAAACTTCCTAATAATGAAAGCTGTCCCGGAGTGTCATGGAAGGCCTCTGGACATCTCCAAGCTCAGCCCAGATAGTCACTTGTCAGTTATGCTGTAAGGGTTACTCTGACTCAGCCCTGGGTTGGACTAGATGTCTTTTTCTGAGGGAGAGAGAGGGGTAAGGTCCTTTCCAGCCCTGAGAGTCTAAGATTCTGATTCTGCGGGTTTATTTTCCTTCTGATCTTCAGGCAATCAATCACCAAACCTACTATGCATTTAAGAGGACTGGAGTAGCACTAGGAATACAAAAACAAAAATGTAACATTTCCTGCTCTCAAAGAGCTTACCGTTCTGGGGGAGGAGGAGAGGAGAAGGACAATAGATACATATATAAAGTGGATACAAAATAAGTACCAGGTAATTTTGGCAGGAAGGAGAGGGGAGTGGAGGGAAGTTGGGGGTGGGGTTGCAGCTCAGAATGGACTTCATCCAGAATGTGGACCTTGAGCTGAGCTTTGAAGAAAACTAGAGATTCTAAGTGGTATATGTGAGAAGGGAGGGCATTCTCGGCAAGGGGGAGAGCCTGGGCAAAGGTTCAGACAGAAGATGGAGTATCATGTATAAGGAACAGTTTGACTAGATTGTAGAGTCTGTGAGGAGGAATAGCCACTTGTAATGAGGTTAGAAAGATAGGTTGCGGCAAAATTGTCAAGAGCTTGAAATGTAGAAGTTTGCACTTGATTCTTGTGGTACTAGGGAGCCCCCAGAGTTTGATGAGTAGATTAGTGACACGGTCAACAATCACTGTAGTGCCTATGTAGAGGGTGAACTGGAGAGGGGACACATGTAAGCAAGAAGAACGAAATAAGAAGCTATTTCTGCATGAGGTACTGAGGACCTGAATGGGGGGGGGGTGAGGGGGAGAAGGGACCAGATGGGAGGAATGTTAGGGAAGTGGAATCACTAAGAGTTGGCAACTGATTGGAAATGTGGGGTGAGGAAGAGTTCAAAATTGAGGAAGACCCCAGGGTTGCAAACCAAGGAGACCAGAAGGAGCAACTAATACAAAAGATGCTGGTGGTAATCTTGGTGAAGGGGTTCGTTTTAGAGGAGAAATAATGAGGAATATGTCTCCAAGATGTCCAGTTTGAAATGTCCAACAGGCAAATGGTGATGCAGGAACCAAGCTCTGAATAGAGCCTGAGATCAGATAGATACTTCTGGCAATCATCAGCACCTAGGTGATCATTGAACCCAAGGGAGAGATTAGCCAGAGACAACTGAAGAGGATCGGGCCTGACCTTGAGAGACACCCACAGTTAGAGGGCAGGATAGAGGCCCTTATTATTTTAGCCTCCCTAGTAGACTGGCATGTACCTCCAGTGTACATCCTAGGAGCCCTACAAATGTCCAGAGAAGGCTCTTCAAGCTGTGGGCTAACTGTACTTGAGATCCCCCTGTATCTGCTAGGGGCTCCCCCTCCAAATTACTTTGCATTTTATATATATCTCTGTGTGTGTGTGTGTGTGTGTTTGTATTATATAAACACACACACATATAGTATTTACTTATGCCTCTGTTCAGTTTTCCTCAATAAGATTGTAAGCTCTGTAAGCAGGACCTGCTTCACTTCTGCCTATATATCCCCAGGACCTAGTATAATGCCTGGCATACAGTAGGGGCTTACCAAATGCCCATTAATTGATTGGTGTCTGAATAGATTTGAGACTGAAGATGTTGATTAGTGTCCTTAGCCCTCAGGATGTTAGAATCCCAGAATCCCAGAACTGAAAGGGACCACAGAGGGCGTCTAATACAACACCAGGACTCCATTCCATAAGCATGTATTAAATGCACGCTATGTGCCAGGCACTGTGCTAGGTGCTGGGGATGAGAAGATTAAAAATTGGAGGAACAAATCCTTTCTACAGCGTCCCCAGGCTCTTTTTGAACAGTTTGTCTGTCCCTTGTTGGGCCATGTGTGAATGGCTGTGTCAGGCAGTAAGCATTAATTAAGCACCTACTATGTGCTAGGCATGGTGCTAAGGCAGGGGATACAAATATGTAAAAGAAAGAGAGCCCCTGCCCTCACTGTGCTTACAATCTAATGGGGGTAGCTAATGCGGAAATTTGTCTGCATGACTATACATATTTGTCATGGATTCTATTTTTCTTGTCTTCTTAATGGCTAGGGGAGTGTGGGAGAGGGAGAGAATTTGGAACTAAAAATAAAATTGAATTTAAAGCAATCTAATGGGGGAAAACAACACCCAACAGAAAGCTAAAGGGGGAGTGAGGAGGTGAGGGATGGTAAAGAAGTCCAGAAAATTACATACAGCCAGATGGGAACTGAAGAGATAACTGGACTGAGTGCCCTCCTTACATGGAAGTTTGGGGAGGAGCACCTCCAATCAGAGAGATCCCATGTAGAGTTTGTGTATGTATTGTTTGTGTATGTGTGTACTAGTCAAAAATAATGTCAATGGTGCATATAGATTGTTTGCACAGCCATATGTATACAGGTCTGTGTGAGCACGTGTGTGAAAGGAAGCATGGGCCACTGGATAAAATGTTGGTCTTGGCCCCTTCAGGAAGATCTGGATTGAAATCTTGCATCTGATGCTTACTAACTGTATGACCCTTGAGTAAGTCACTTAACATCTACTGGCTCTCAGTTCTCTGAATCTTAGCTGTCTTAGTAGGTAGTGCTAAAACTATCTACCAAGACAAAGATGACAAATAGCAGATGGCTGTCCCCCTATTCCTGAAATGCCCTGCCTCCTCATCTCCGCCTCCTGGCTTCCTTCAGGTCCCAGCTAAAATCCCATCCTCTGCAAGAAGCCTTTCCCAGCCCGCTCAGTACTAGCTAGTGCCTTCCTTCTGCTGATTATTTCCAATTTATCCTGTCAGTTTCTTATTTGTACCTGGTTGTTTGCCTGTCATCTCCCTCCCTGTGCCCATTAGACTATGTTTGAGACCAGGGATTATTTTGACCTTTCTTTGTATCCCTAGTACTTAGCACAGTGCCTGGCACATAGTAGGCACTTAAGAAATGCTTGTTAACTTGACCAGATGAGTTTCAGCCTGTAAGTTCTATTCCTGTGCACTTCTGTGTTTTGAGTATTAATTTCAACTCACCAAATATCTAGTAAGTGCCTTCTGTGTGCTAGGCACCCTTAGTAAACAATTCCTCCAAATTCTACTGGGCAGATCAGACGCATTCACAGATAAGTATGATATCATACCTGGGCGTAATGGGACAAAAGAGAAATTGAGACAAAGTATTCTGGGGAAATGGGAAGGGGGAAGGGAAGCTTTAGGTTGGGGGGGAGGATCAGGGAAAGCTTCACAAAGGGACTGACCTGAGCTAGACCTTCTTTGAAGGAAGAAAAGGATTTAGAAAGGCAGAGAGGAGGAAGGGAACAGCTTGTGGAGAACGTGTGGAGGCGGGAGACAGTATGTTGAGTTTGGGAAGCAGAGCAGTCCAGTTTGGCTGGAACAGAGAGTCCCCGTCATGCTTCCGTGAA